AAACCGTAGGCAGAGAGAGAGAAGAGGACAACAAACGAGGGGCTGTGACAAACTGTTTCGTCGGAGTTTCACCGACTCATCAGGAGGCTGAACCCTATATATATATCGTCAATATATATATATATCGTCACAAGAATATCAGAGCGCGAAGGCAAAAAAAACAGAAGAAAACAGGAAAAAATAATTCGTTTTTTTTTTAATTTTGTATCTTCTTTCTTACAACTCCCCCTGTTCAGAACCTCTTGCGTGTATATACATATATATATATACAGCTGTCTTCTCCTCATATGGTGGACAAATGTACTTCTTTTTTTAAGGCAATCCCATTGTCTTCTCTCGTAATCCTGATTATAGTACTATACTTGCCTTATAACAGATGGTCGGTTCCGTGATCAAAATCTCTTGCCACGCAATGGGCACATGCACACTCAGGCTTGTAGGATGACCAAGCCTGTTCTTTTTGGATTTTGTCAACCAATCAAGACTGTCCCTGGGTGGCAAAGAGGACGATTTCGAAAATTGCCCCCCTTCAGTACTGGGGGGGTCTGCGTCCACCGGCTGAGGGCCGGTAGATCCTGGTATAGGCTCCTTGGTGCTGCCATCCGAGTCACCAGCTGCTTCTGTTCCACGATGTGTGTCATGCAGTTCACGGAGGATCGGGCCCGCCACGAGTTCCCGGCCATGAAGTCCTTTACTTCCAATCCAATACCTTCGCCGTGCGGCTTTGGTTCCTGTAGTCTCTAGGCGTTTCTCTCGATGGTCTTTGATGCCCTCACCTTTCTTCTTTCCGTCGTCATCCAGGACTAGGTACGACGAACCATCGCCTATCTTAAGTTGGATGCGAGCAAACGTAAGCCGAGTACGAGCAATTTCGCGTCGCAGCTGTCCGACGGCTACTTGTAGTCTCACGTTGGGAGCCATGGAATGAGCAAACTGCAACCGGACTGAAATTTCGCCCGAAATTTCGCCGGAAAGTTCCAGCAATGTGAAAATTGGCCTGCCTGTTTCTTTCTCATCCTTGCAGTCCAACAGTCTTCCAGCTGACCTTTCATTTATCTTAATATTATATTGAATAATCAGTCTTAACTGCACCGGACCACACGCAAGTGGATCTGTGCCGGGTTCCCCACCGGACCCTCGTGGATGTCGAGCTGCCCCACGTCTACCTGTTGTGAAATGTTTGCAGCCGCGAGGTAGACAAACGAAACGTTCAGCGGTGAGTTCCAGCACAGTGAAAATTTACCTGTCTGTTTCTTTCTTCACCCATCTGACTTTTCGTTAAATTTGAAATATTTTTCCCGTGCGACAAAAAATGAACAAGTATTTTTGTGCTGTCACTTCTGATGCCAACGGATTGAAAAGATTTTGGCGGGAAGCTTCCTTTGCACCGGCATGCCCAGTGTTAAGGAGAGGAGGAGGGGAAAGAAGATCTCCCTACTTTTTCGGGTAATACATGTAAAATACTGACCGTGGGATCACTCGCGAGTACTGCACGGCAGGATTTGGGTCACTCAACTGCCACACAAACTCTTTTCTATCCTATCCGGTTGCTAGTGGGACCACGCCCCTGCACAGATGCTTGGGTTCCTTGATTGAAGGCGGTATGCATGGACACTACGGTTCTTTTTTTTTTTTTTTTTTTTTTTTTTTTTTTTTTCTCAATCAACTGGGGTCCTTATTAGGGAGGGTGATACAAGCAGCCCCACCCCCCCTAATAGGTACCTTACTTTACTCCGATCTATTGGTGGGGAGCTGCATCTGCTGGAAACCGGGTCCAGCGTCCCATTGATACAGTCATCATTTAATAGGTGCTGAAGATGAAACGTGATCCAAGCCCACCAGCATTGATTGCCCTGGAGTACCACGAAATGGATTGAATGGCCCATGAGATTGATTGAATGGGGCTATGAGTCGGAGATGATAATGGAGCTGTGAACGGACGGGGTGGGGCGTGCCTCTAGGCGCCGCCTATTGGCACCAAAGGACTACGTAGACCAACAGTGATCTCTGGCAGCAGCAGTGGATGGTTGCCCTGACCCACATCTATTCCTTGAAGAACCAGTACCGTTGAAAAGTGTAGGCCCAGTCCTACCTTGTGACTGGAGGCCGGAGGCCCCAGAGAATGGGCCCAGAGCCTCAGATATAGGGGCCCAAACCCTTGGAAAGGCAGAATTTTTGGGCCGGGCATTCTTTTTTTTTTTTTTTTTTTTTTTTTTTTGGGCCGGGCGTTCTTGAAGATCTGATGACTGTGGCTAGTACCATTGCCCATGGGTGGAGGCTTGTGGCAAAAAGTTGATTGTGCCGGCTTTGTCGATTTTTTGCGACCAGCATAATGGATGAAAAAAAAACTGCAAACCCTAAGGAACGTAGATTGAGTAATGAAACCATGGCAAAAAAGGCTGGCGGCGAAATAAAGAATGCATATTTTGTTCCCTGTTTCTACTGATAGATCTCCATCATTTTGGCTCAGTGGGCCAGGCTCCCAATTGAAGTGCCACTTCATTGTACTTCCTGTTGGGGACAATGGTTGTATAGATGTTAGAGACAAAAGGAGATCGGGTGCAATTGCACATTGAAAATGGGTGCATATCTCTGACCTCTCTCTCTCTCTCTCTCTCTCTCTCTCTCTCTCTCTCTCTCTCTCTCTCACACACACACACACACACACACACACACACACAGCCGGCGCGCTGTGAACAAACCCTTGGAAAACCAGTTCTGCGCGCGGCCCGCCCGTCGATCCGATCCATCCGATGGCCAGCGCGCATTTCCACGCCGGTTTCCGGCGCGCAGCGGACGATCGACGTCCCTCCCGCGGAGGCCAATGCACTACAAGAGGAAGGATGACAGCAATCCATATTTAATATTTCAAGTTTTCTTCTTCCATGCCGTTTGTGTCTGCTCTCTAGAATTCGAAAGACGTTGGCATGGGCTCTGGACAACCAGCTATTTTGAGAGAGAGAGAGAGAGAGAGGGAGAGAGAGAGAGAGAGAATATATATCTCTTGTTCCGAGCAAGCCGCAGGCTTCTAGACAGTATTTCCAGCGAGGAAAGCGCTAAGAGCCCCAGTATTTCCGGGTTGTTTGTGGGGTTCCAGCCCACACCCCTCAATACATAGCCACATACAGACACCTATACATGTGCAAAAATACAGACATACACAGACACGTATACATATGCACACACAGACATACACAGACACGTATACACATGCACACACAGACATACACAGACACGTATACATATGCACATACAGACATACACAGACACGTGCAGACACATCATGATGACACACATACACACACTTGACATCCTGTTGAGTCATTGAAAGTAACGAAACAGTCTGGCAGACTCATCCTTCTTCTGTGGGTGGAGTTGTGTGTATACCGAACATGATAACTCACACACACACACATACATACATACATACATACATACAATACATACGTACGTAGATAAGTACGTACGTACATACATACGTACAATCATGCATGTGGACATGCATGCATGCATAGGTACAGATATACATACAATACATACATACATACATACATACATACATGCATACATACATACATACACATACGTACAATCATGCATGTGGACATACATGCATATATGCATGCATTCATAGGTACATATATACATGCAGTCATGCATGTGGACTTACATACGTACGTACAAACTTACGTATATATGCATTTAGTCTCGCCGGTATAAATAAGGCCCATCATTTATCGACTTTTAAGAACAGAGTAATCACACCAAATTCAACCTCCTCTAACGCATATTAACATACATTCATGCATATATACATACATACATACATACATACATACATACATACAATCATGCATCTAGACACATATACATACATACATACATACACACATACATACATACATATACAGCTCCCCGTTTCGTGACCTTTTCCTCCCTTACGGCCTACGTTTCACCTGGAAGTTCTCTGTGACAAATAAGTGATAGTCTACTTTGATTTTGGTTAAGGTAGATTATCATTTACAGTGTAATCAGTGAGGGGATTCTGCAGACTGTTGAGGGTTCAGCCTCCTGATGAGTCGGTGAAACTCCGACGAAACAGTTTGTCACAGCCCCTCGTT